TATATATATATATATTCTCATGGTTTTAACACAAGGCTAAATTATTTTTATAACACATTAAAAATGATTTTGAAACTATTTTAACTAAATAAGATTTGAAAACTAAAAACAAATTTAAATAATTCAAAAAGCCTTTTAAACTCAACTTATTAACTTGAGATAACAATTCGAGTTCAATATGAACAACTCATAATTAAGACTAAGATATAGGCTCTTAAAAATAAGAGGAAAACAGATCATGTTTGTTTAGTTTGGCCAAATTGGCCAGATCGAACTCCTAAAAGCAAGGCTATAAAAATCTTAATGCGTATTTAGATACATGATAGATTAAGTGTGTGTTTGTTTTATTGTTAAAATTTGACAAACATACATTGAACGGAAAAGATAAAAATAATTACTTTGTATTTTAGTACTTTAAAAAATGTGTTTTTACCTTTTTGTTAGAAAAACGGTTTTCTAAACACGTTCTAAATTCACCATGATTTTTGAAAATAACAACATAATTATTTTTTCTACAAACTCGCCTTAATTTTTGTATTTATTATGACTTTCTATCACCAAATCAAAAATATGTTTAGTCCATTTGGCCCAACTCATTAACAATTTTTTTTAATAAATTTATACGTGTTCCTAAAAAGTTTATATACTAAACATATTTAATTTTAATAACAATAATAATAAACTTGGCCGCACAGTTGTTTCCATTCTTTATCTATTTTACTCCAATTGATCAATAAAAATATTGTAAAAGTAGTAGTATATAAAATCATTTTATGCTAAGAATATTTCAGAAATAAACTTAAAAGAATTAATTTTGAGCAGTTGATAAAATAGAGCCACTGAGAAATAATTTATATTTAAAAATTTTGAAAGTCTCGGACTTGAGATCAATTCTATCTATTCAAAAAGTTTATAGTGTGTTTGGATAGAAAATTTAAATAGAATAATTCATTTGTATGAAAAATTTTAAATTTTTTTGAGGTAAAATACCTCATTTGAACGAAGAATTTGAAATTCAAGTATTTGTGAAATTTCTTGAAATAGTAAATGTTTAAATTCTTCCAAAAAAAGTAAGAATTTGAAATTTTTCATATATCTCTTATCTCTTCATGTTTTTAATTATTAAATATTCAATTTTTTTAAAAATTACTAAATATTATCTAATGTTAATTTTTAAAATTATTGAATATTTAAAAATTAGTTAATATTTATTTTTATAAAATTTAATTTAAAAATCTTGACATATAAATATATTTTTTAAATCAATTTTATCATGATCGAATCAAATTATCATATCTAACCTAATAATTTAAAATTTAAAAAATTTGAATTAATTTATCCAAACAAAATATTTTAAGAATAATAAAAATTAAAATTAAAGTAATTTAAATATTAACAATTTAAAATTTTTAATTTTGTAAAAATTTTCATCCAAATACACCATTATAAAATTTTTCAATTCGCTCGAAATCAATCTTAGAATTAATTTTGGAAACAAGCAAACAGTGACATAGACATGTTTAGTTAGAGGCGTAGAGAGAGAGGTAGGAAGGAGGAGGGATTAAAAATTTTATTTGATTGAAAAGAGGAAAAAAAAGATTTTAATAGAGAAAATGGAAATAATTTTTTTATTTGATTTATCAAAGAAAAAATGAGTCATGAAAGATTTTAAAAATGAATTTATCTTTATATTTATATATTTTTAATTTAAAAATAAAATAAAATATATTTTAAACAGTATATTAAAAATATTTTAAAATTTTCCTTTTCAAATCTTTCTGATATAAAAATGGAATTAAAATTAGAGGAAAAGGAATTTCCTCCCCTCCCTTACTCCTCTTAAACAATAAAAGTTTACAAAAATTGGTAGTTTCCCTCCCTTCTATTTTTTCTCCGTCGAAACGCTATGTTTAGGTTGGCGAAATCAAAATGAAGGACACTGCTAGCAGATTAGGGGATTATTACAAGCATATCCACATTGTGTTGTGCCACTCTTGCTGCAGATAATTCTACTGGTAATTGCTAAAAGTAAAAGGCAGCATACAAAGTAAATATAGCAACAAAACAAGTAACAACCAGGGAGACAACAATAACACAAGTATTCTGACTAATTGCAAGCAATATAAACAATTTTTACACAGATACCAAGCATTCATTCGGTTAACCTTGGTTTTTGATTCTTTCAGCACATGAAACATAATTAGCCGGTGCAGATACCCCCCGCAGGTTGTCCCATATCATCCTCGCTAACATAAGCAGAGAGATTGAGATACTTATCCTGCTCCACCCTATCCCTCCACCTCGCCCTACAAATCACACAACTAGCCGTTCTTCTTCCTCTGCTTCTCTTCCACCTCATCAAGCATTCTTCATGAATGGGGTTACGGCATGTTCCACACGCCACCAGGTTTTGCTCCTTCCCCATTTCCTCAAGGCAAACCGGGCACGTTGCACCCTCCTCCATCTCTATCTTTGGCCTTGCTGACCCTCCACCAAAGAACAGCTGGTGAAACCTCTGCCGGAGGCTGCCCCCCGCCACCGCCTCCGGCAGCGTCGGCGTGCCTAGGAGGCGCTGAAGCTGGCAGGGACGGAGGGTCCTCCTCCTTAGACACACGTCATCAAGGGACACGCCAAGAACTCGAATGAAAACAAAGAGGATGTGCTTGCATGGGGTGGTACGGTCAGGGCAGGTGCATGAGGGGGTTGAGGAGAGGGTCACCGTGTACACGTTTCCGGTGGCGCCAAATATGAAGAAGGTGGAGCCGGCACGGTGGAGGAGGCGGAGGCGGTGGCGGAGGGCGCGGACTATTCGGTCTGAGATGGGTTGGCTTGGTTTGAACCGAGGGTGGTGGTGGTGGTGATGATTGTTATGGTTTGATGGAGAATTGGAATTGGAGCCAGAAGAGTTCATTGTTCCAAATGGAATGGGGAAATTAAGGTAGTTGGTAGTTGAATAACAGTTTAGGATTAGGCGAATATGTTGTTGGTTGTGGGTTATGTAGGATGGGTGTGGTTGGGATTCCTTGTGTAGTTTTGGGGGACACGTGAAGGAATAAGAATGGATGATGGGCCAGGGAATTTTGTAAGGTGCACAATTCCAAACCTTTACTTGCCAACTTCCCTTTTATCCGTGGAATGGTGGTAAACCATGCAGCACGCTTTAGTAATACACCCTAAAATCTGTAACTCATACGTACAAAGCACACTTTGTTATATTTGCAATCCTAACCATGGTTTTCTTATCTATTTTTCGTTGCTATATTTTGCACGTATATACACAAAAAACTAGGCATTTAAAATGAGATATTTTGATGTCCTACTAAGAATTAGTATTATACCATGCGTTATATCAGGATGCCATGGTAAAACGAACATATATATGAAAGGTTTCGAGATGCGACTTAAAATTGGAAATTTCTACTATATTGACTTGCTAGTTGCTATGATGAGTTGTGATGCACTTTGGATTGACGTAGACGAACAGATTGAGATACTTGTGCACTAATAAATAAACTCAAAAGTAAAAGGTTTAACATGTCATGATAAAAAATTAAAAAAAATCATTCATCTTCTCTCTTCCTCGTCCCTAGACTCTCTGGTGGATATCCCTTGGATTTCACTGCAATGATGAAGTCTTCCCTAATCCTAACGTAATAATCTAATTAAGAAAAATGACAATGGGGGTCATCATACTGTAGTAGATATTTGATCCGCCAAAAATTCCTATACCATAAAAATCCTTTCTTGTTGACCTAATTTTAATTCAACCAGAATTAAAAGAAAGTACAATAGAGTAAAAAATAAAATAAATCACACTTGCATCCTTTTTATTTTTTGAGATTGCACTTAATACTCTTTTGTTATTTAGAAAAATAATGAGATTTCTTAAAAGTTCAAAAGATGTTATGTTATTTTTCAATTCCCAAATAATGTCAAGTTCATAACATATTCGTGTCATATAATCTAAACGATTTTTAACGAATTTTTTCTTTCAAAAATGTTCCTTTTAATGGAGAATGTGAGAGACATTTTTTGGAAAAAAAATAAAGAGGTATCAAGTGTAATTTTAAAAAGGGAAAAGGAATACAAATGTAATTGAAAAAAGTTCAAACAAAAATAAGATTGACCATACAAGTTTTTGAATTATAAAAAATAAATTTGAAGTCTTTAAATATGTATTTAGTCATGAAATTAATGCTAAAATATATATTTTGTTGATTAAATTATTATTCTTCAAGATTTGTGACATATGCACTTTGATTAAAAAAAACTTAAAATTCAAGAATTTCAACTTCAGGTACTAATATGAATATTTACTCGTATAACTGAGAGAAGATAGATTGGCAAGTTATTAGAAATGCTTAACAGCTAGTCCAGTGAAAGTGTAACTGGAATTGAGTGGATAGAAATACCAAATGACAAAGTGGGACCTAATTATTTCTTCTACGCATTTGGTTTGAGTCAGGGAATTTTCTTTCCAATCATACTTCCTTCTTAATAGAATTTTTTTTTTTTTTGTAAAAATAAAATATAAAGTCCAAAAGAAGAAGAAAAAATATTACAAAAGATCTTTCTCAATAAATATACCGCTGTCAGAAATTTTAATAAGACATGGAGAGAAAATAATAAACGTAAAGTGTACTAATGTGACAAAAAAAAACGACAGAAAGAAAATAGGATGAAAAAGGTGATAGAAGAAAAATGAACATATGTATTTATAAGTATCCTTTAAATATTACCAAATAACAACATAGTGTAAGGAAATGCGTGTCTAACAAAAAAGAATGACGAGAGAAGTTCATACAAAACGAAAAATATTAATAATACATTCTCTAACACATTTTTATTAATATATCATTTATTATTAGTTAAAATTTATTAAAAACTGCATATAAGTAAGACATATTATATTCGTGAAACTATTTTTTTATGATTTTTAATAAACTTTAATTAATATTAAAGAATGTTTTTACCAGATTGTAATATTTTCAATGGGTGAATAGATGAGCTTTACGAGATAATTGTTTTACCAGGGAAAAAAAAAAGTTAAGGTGAATAGAGACTCTTTAGAATTAACCACAGGATATTAACTGATACTTGTATGCCTAAAGTAATTATCTATATCTACTATATTGGTACAAGCTGCTAGATGATTGCCTCTGATAGATTATATTGTTTCCTTCTGATGCAATTGTAATCCATTAATTCCTTCTGATGGCCTACGGAACTTATACAATATATGAGAGAATAAATGGACATGTTTTCTATACCAGATTATAGATATAAGTGTTAGGTCCAGAGTAGGTTTAATAGTTACTCACAGCTAAAACAAGAGATGAGTAAAAAGAGACAAGGGAGAAAATAACCACAGTAAAAATATTATTTACTGAAAGGGAGGAAATTACAACACTTCTCTCTCTATAACTTACTCCTTTGAATTAGGAGACTACTACTACCGAGAACAGATCTCAAGGTGTATAAGAGAGGAAGAGAGAAGAGAAGAAGATTTGGGATGAAAATTATGGTTTTCAGCTTCCCTATTTATAGGAAAGTCCCAATGGCATTTTCGTAATTTCTCCTAAACTTTTAATATTATTTTATTATCATGTGGGACCCGCTT